CAACTTTAGACATTTGTAGACATTTTTAGACATTTTTAGACATTTTTAGACTTTTTTAGACATTTTTAGACATTTTTAGACATTTTTAGACATTTTTAGATATTTTTAGACATTTTTAGACATTTTTAGACATTCTTAGACATTTTAAGACATTTTTAGACATTTTTAGACATTTTTAGACATTTTTAGACATTTTTAGACATTTTTAGACATTTTTAGACATTTTTAGACATTTTTAGACATTTTTAGACATTTTTAGACATTTTTAGACATTTTTAGACATTTTTAGACATTTTTAGACATTTTTAGACATTTTTAGACATTTTTAGACATTTTTAGACATTTTTAGACATTTTTAGAAATTTTTAGAAATTTTTAGATATTTTTAGTTATTTTTAGACTGTTTTTGAGATCTTCAGACATCTTAACACATTTTTATACATCTTCATCATCGTTAGACGTTTTAATACCTCTTTAGAAATCTTTAGACATTCTTTAGACATTCTTTAGACATTCTTTAGACATTCTTTAGACATTCTTTAGACATTCTTTAGACATTCTTTAGACATTCTTTAGACATTCTTTAGACATTCTTTAGACATTCTTTAGACATTCTTTAGACATTCTTTAGACATTCTTTAGACATTCTTTAGACATTCTTTAGACATTCTTTAGACATTCTTTAGACATTCTTTAGACATTCTTTAGACATTCTTTAGACATTCTTTAGACATTCTTTAGACATTCTTTAGACATTCTTTAGACATTCTTTAGACATTCTTTAGACATTCTTTAGACATTCTTTAGACATTCTTTAGACATTCTTTAGACATTCTTTAGACATTCTTTAGACATTCTTTAGACATTCTTTAGACATTCTTTAGACATTCTTTAGACATTCTTTAGACATTCTTTAGACATTCTTTAGACATTCTTTAGACATTCTTTAGACATTCTTTAGACATTCTTTAGACATTCTTTAGACATTCTTTAGACATTCTTTAGACATTCTTTAGACATTCTTTAGACATTCTTTAGACATTCTTTAGACATTCTTTAGACATTCTTTAGACATTCTTTAGACATTCTTTAGACATTCTTTAGACATTCTTTAGACATTCTTTAGACATTCTTTAGACATTCTTTAGACATTCTTTAGACATTCTTTAGACATTCTTTAGACATTCTTTAGACATTCTTTAGACATTCTTTAGACATTCTTTAGACATTCTTTAGACATTCTTTAGACATTCTTTAGACATTCTTTAGACATTCTTTAGACATTCTTTAGACATTCTTTAGACATTCTTTAGACATTCTTTAGACATTCTTTAGACATTCTTTAGACATTCTTTAGACATTCTTTAGACATTCTTTAGACATTCTTTAGACATTCTTTAGACATTCTTTAGACATTCTTTAGACATTCTTTAGACATTCTTTAGACATTCTTTAGACATTCTTTAGACATTCTTTAGACATTCTTTAGACATTCTTTAGACATTCTTTAGAAATTCTTTAGACATTCTTTAGACATTCTTTAGACATTCTTTAGACATTCTTTAGACATTCTTTAGACATTCTTTAGACATTCTTTAGACATTCTTTAGACATTCTTTAGACATTCTTTAGACATTCTTTAGACATTTCTTTAGACATTCTTTAGACATTCTTTAGACATTCTTTAGACATTCTTTAGACATTCTTTAGACATTCTTTAGACATTCTTTAGACATTCTTTAGACATTCTTTAGACATTCTTTAGACATTCTTTAGACATTCTTTAGACATTCTTTAGACATTCTTTAGACATTCTTTAGACATTCTTTATACATTCTTTATACATTCTTTAGACGTTCTTTAGACGTTCTTTAGACGTTCTTTAGACGTTCTTTAGACGTTCTTTGGACGTTCTTTAGACGTTCTTTAGACGTTCTTTAGACGTTCTTTAGACGTTCTTTAGACGTTCTTTAGACGTTCTTTAGACGTTCTTTAGACGTTCTTTAGACGTTCTTTAGACGTTCTTTAGACGTTCTTTAGACGTTCTTTAGACATTCTTTAGACATTCTTTAGACATTCTTTAGACATTCTTTATACATTCTTTATACATTCTTTAGACATTCTTTAGACATTCTTTAGACATTCTTTAGACATTCTTTAGACATTCTTTAGACATTCTTTAGACCTTCTTTAGACATTCTTTAGACATTCTTTAGACATTCTTTAGACATTCTTTAGACATTCTTTAGACATTCTTTAGACATTCTTTAGACATTCTTTAGACATTCTTTAGACATTCTTTAGACATTCTTTAGACATTCTTTAGACATTCTTTAGACATTCTTTAGACATTCTTTAGACATTCTTTAGACATTCTTTAGACATTCTTTAGACATTCTTTAGACATTCTTTAGACATTCTTTAGACATTCTTTAGACATTCTTTAGACATTCTTTAGACATTCTTTAGACATTCTTTAGACATTCTTTAGACATTCTTTAGACATTCTTTAGACATTCTTTAGACATTCTTTAGACATTCTTTAGACATTCTTTAGACATTCTTTAGACATTCTTTAGACATTCTTTAGACATTCTTTAGACATTCTTTAGACATTCTTTAGACATTCTTGGGACATTCTTTAGACATTCTTTAGACATTCTTTAGACATTCTTTAGACATTCTTTAGACATTCTTTAGACATTCTTTAGACATTCTTTAGACATTCTTTAGACATTCTTTAGACATTCTTTAGACATTCTTTAGACATTCTTTAGACATTCTTTAGACATTCTTTAGACATTCTTTAGACATTCTTTAGACATTCTTTAGACATTCTTTAGACATTCTTTAGACATTCTTTAGACATTCTTTAGACATTCTTTAGACATTCTTTAGACATTCTTTAGACATTCTTTAGACATTCTTTAGACATTCTTTAGACATTCTTCAGACATTCTTCAGACATTCTTCAGACATTCTTCAGACATTCTTCAGACATTCTTCAGACATTCTTCAGACATTCTTCAGACATTCTTCAGACATTCTTCAGACATTCTTCAGACATTCTTCAGACATTCTTCAGACATTCTTCAGACATTCTTCAGACATTCTTCAGACATTCTTCAGACATTCTTCAGACATTCTTCAGACATTCTTCAGACATTCTTCAGACATTCTTCAGACATTCTTCAGACATTCTTCAGACATTCTTCAGACATTCTTCAGACATTCTTCAGACATTCTTCAGACATTCTTCAGACATTCTTCAGACATTCTTCAGACATTCTTCAGACATTCTTCAGACATTCTTCAGACATTCTTCAGACATTCTTCAGACATTCTTCAGACATTCTTCAGACATTCTTCAGACATTCTTCAGACATTCTTCAGACATTCTTCAGACATTCTTCAGACATTCTTTAGACATTCTTCAGACATTCTTTAGACATTCTTCAGACATTCTTCAGACATTCTTCAGACATTCTTCAGACATTCTTCAGACATTCTTCAGACATTCTTCAGACATTCTTCAGACATTCTTCAGACATTCTTCAGACATTCTTCAGACATTCGTCGGACATTCTTCAGACATTCGTCGGACATTTTCAAAACATTCTTTGGACATTCTTGAGTAGTTCTTGCATCATTGAGATATATAGCATACGATTATTTCATTTTGTTTGGAAATTAAAATTATTTTTCTTGGGAAAATTTACTGGAAAATGCAGTGAAGATTTAAAAAAAATAATTTCTTCCGTTACTTTGATACTACTTACTTTTATTTTCTGATACTAAAACATAACAATAAAGCTTATTGTAAATTAATACTTTCAAATCCGTCGGTTATTTAGAGTTCCACGAACGTTATATTGTTTTTTAGAATATTTACATCACGTTTAAGTATCGGTTAATTTTTTATTCTTTTAGCACTTAGTTCTTGGTTTGTAAAATTACATCCGTACTGTAATCAGAAACACAGAAGTACGAAAAGTTGCCGTAGGTCTGATGCGTTTTTTATGATATCTGAAAAGTTAATTGAGGGTGGTGAGAAGTTGAGAGAGAGATAACCTTATACAGTCGCAAATGGCCGTTGGCCTTGTAATTATTTTCTTTTGCTGCAAGTGATTAACTCGTTTGTTGATTTATATTTGCAGCGGCGTAATTTATTGCCCAGCCGATCTGACATGTTGCATGCATGTAGGCAGAAAGCACGGTTTCGCGTTGCATGTTAATTTGGAATAGAACTTTTAAAGTGGAAGGATATTCTTCATTTTGTTTAGCTTGCTCTCGACTGCTCCCCCTTATCCATATTTTTAGTTTTTCTGTTCATTCTTTCAGCGAACATTTATCAGTATATAAATACCAATAACGTGGAAGAATTATTTATTCACTGCATGCTCTTTATCATTTAGTAGGTGCCTACTTAAAAAAGTATGAGGTTCTCGCATAAATGATTTTAATTTTTACATTCAATTTTTTAATTCTGGTGTCTGAAGGTGACAGGTCATATAGTAAGATCACCATTTATTATTTTACATTCCCTCTTATTTCTCTTCATTTTGCTTCTATTGTCTTGGTTTATGTTTACTTCTTTTTTTACCTTATTTCGACACTGACTTTGTTCATTCTGTTCTATTTTGTGTCCTATATTTGGTATTTTTGTAAGTGGATCATATTTGGGCCACCATTGCTTAAAATCTATAATTTCTTCTCCTGAAACTTCCATGACAGTAAAATTTTTCTCCGCACTTGAAGCTATTATTATTTCAGTGTATTCGTGAACAGAAAATATACGATCGAATCGCTTTAAAGGTCGTTTAATGACTCCAAAGTCTCGGTCATTAGGTAAAAAGGAATGCCCTCTCCTCTGATGGGAAAAGTTGGTCCACTTTTTTTAAATCTATTAGTTTCAACTAATGCGTGTCATGGTATGATTTTTGTTTTGCCCGGGACAATTATCACTATAAAGACGTATTTCCTGGACATTTTCTGAAATTTCACGTTTGGTCCCTTATTGGCAACACCTTCATGTACTTTCCAGTCTTATAGTTGTGTATACCAAAAATACTGACTGTTAGTTGTGTTAGATAAAATAAATCTTTGACTGGAACTTCAGCTAAGTGAACGTTCTGCATGTACTCAAATGTTATGACGAACAGGTCATCACGAATCTTGCACTTATCAGTAGATTCCTTCAACGAATAATAAAACTTTTTTGCTCTTCTTTTATGTACTGCAAGTTCGGCAGCTGCTGCTTTTTTAGCTGCATCTCCTAGCGAAGGAATTTTTATTTTGAGGTCCAGTTCTTCACACTTGCAACAAGTGTCTACTTGTGGACGGCCAAAGTGAATGTCGAAATGCTCATGAAAATGTTTCACAAAGTAAGAATATCGAATTTTGGTTGTTGGATATTTTACTTTGAACATATCAAACATAATTTTCATATTGAGTTTAGCATCAAGATATAAATAGGTTTTATTGCTGTAATGAGTTTCCCTAACAGGGAATAATTCAATTTACTGGTAAATTAGTACGTTGTTCTCTTCTGAAATAGCATTACCTTTTATATTTTGTCCCCGCTTGTCATATGGATATTTATTTTAGAAGACCTTTTAAACGCTTCAACCTTTTGATACTAATACTAAACAAACTAAGAAATGCATTTCGACAGACTTTTCTTCGTTTACCATCAACTGGGACATAATGATGGAAGGAACAAGTTTTTCCCTTTGAGTTCTCTGGATTTTGTGGTTGAGATTTTCTTTTAATGTTCACTACTTCTAAAAGACCTTGCAAATATATGTCCTGATCGTCCTTAGTGTTAAGGACACTAAAGCGAATAAAAAGTGCATCTATTATATCAGCGTTCGATTTTTCAAAGCATATCATTGGACAACTAAAAAAAAAAGAATGGTAAGTACATAATTACCGAAAGAATTTGCTATAGCTACAGCATTTTTCTTGTAATTTTCGTAAGCCTTCCCCTGAACTCTGCACCTTTTTGATAACATTCCTTTTATAATTTTCGTCATTTATAACCCCTCGTTTCCTTTTCTTCGTTTCTTCCACTGATCTTTCAGATTGGGTATCGTCGGTATCACTCATAATTCTTATTTTCTTAGAGAACACTTTAAATATACGCTTTGACACAACAATATTATAACAATATCATTTTTATAGGTTAATTCTACTTGACAGCTCATGGCGTTGATGCTGAACTAAACCTTGGTGTCAGTAGCCATTTATTTGAGAAAGGAACCAACTATGTCACTTGGTACCTTTCTCAAATAAATGCTCAAAACTATGTCGAATTTACTAGCACTGTATTTACGGAAGATGGTCTCTTTCTGCACTAAAAGTTGCATTTACCTTAAAATAATGTAACGAGCTGAAAAACTCAAAAATGCCAAATATGTTAGTTGGTCCATTTCTGAAATAAACGATTCAATCTACTAAAAAAAATTACAAAAATCAACTTTATTAATCCACAAAAAATATGCATTTCTTGCTCTATAGGTATATATACTTTGGTAACTATAGAACAACGGATAATAACGATAAATATATAAAACGAGAACTAGGAATAAAATATGAGAAAAAGTAAAATGGATCACAAAAAACGTCATCTTATGACCGTTAATTATTTAGTTAATAACGGGTCTGTTGCCTCTAATTAGCAGGTGAAGTGATTGACATATTTCTGATCGGTTTGTAAACCCAAAAAGTATAAAATCCCAACAATTTCATTCAATGTAAAATTAGTAATAGGTACAATAAATATTTTAAATGCAAAATTTAGTGTTGAATCTATTTTGAGTGAAGATGGATATTATAAATGTGTTGAAAATTTTTATTACATACCCTCAAAAATGCAATATCACGGTTTCAACTTTTTAATTGGCCCTTCTAATACTGTTCAACATTTACTACATTTGAACATTTCAGATCAATTAATACGTTAATGATATCTATAACAAATAACACATCAATTTTTGTCATAATATTTGAATTATATAGTTCATACTACTTTTGAAATTCATAAAATTTAAATTTATTTTTCATTTAGTTATTTATTGTAAATATATAAATCAATAGTTATTTTAATAAGTAGAACATATAATGTTCAATATACAGGGTCAAGAAACGCTCTTCAAAGAATGAAACCACGAAATCTAGAGCATCATTTTTGTGTGAAAATAACTTTTTAAATATGATTGCAAAATGGCGACTTTTCGAAAGACAAAAAAAATTGAATAAAAATATCCAATACCCCATCCAAACGAGTCGCTTATGACTACATTAAACCGATTTTAGAGCGCTATCTTCAAAGAGCTCTAGCTCCCTTCGGAATCATATTTGTATTAAGATAATTTAGGCTAAATCGTCATAAAATCAGCTCTAGATTTCGTGGTTTCATTCTTTGAAGGGCGTTTTCTGGACACCCTGTATATGTATTCAATAAATAAAAAAGTTGAACAAAAATTTATTTCGTTTTAGTCCTTAGCATTAACTCGTATTTGACTTTTTAATGTGTTTTATCTGAAAATTCAATAGAAAACACATACTTATATTTATTTAAATCACCTACTATATTTTCTACTAGGAGTAAAAAAGAATAATGCATTTTTCCCTAGATAAATTACACCCTTACTGTACCAACATAATACATTTCCCAAGAATTTTCCAATATTTAAAGATTTATACATTCGCGTGACCTCTCGAGTTCCTTTCCTTTTAATAACAATTTTATCGTTAAACCGGTGACTTTCGGAATTTTAAGTCTTTGTTGTTCCATGCAACAAATGACAGTCGCTAAGATAAATGGCCGACGCTCCTTTGAATCTCGTCACTGACTGTCTCTTTGGCGCGTTTCGTTTCTTCCAACGAAACAATTCGCGTGGAATAGAACCAGTGCAAAAAGTTGTACAGAATCCGTTTGGACAGACCCAAGTGCTTTGGTATGGGATATCTTTATTGGCGTAGAATTTGGATTGGGTAATTTTCTGCTGGTGCAATGTTGTTTCATTAGATGTTTATTAGTTACATATTATATTAAATAAAAATTGTACACTTATGGTTTTATTAAAAGTTAAATTAATGTTGTAATTTATCTTATTTTTCTCCAAATTGTTTACATAAGTAGATATAAAAAATTCCTTAGGTATTCAGAGAAAAATAATTTCTAATAACAGTCGTTAACAAACGATGTTTAATTAAATTCTCATAAATACAGGGTTGATTACAATATTTCTTTGTTTTTATTTTGCCACTGGTGAAATTTAATGTAATTTATTTAATTTTTAGTTTGAAATTAATTCACAAATAATGAAAAAAGAATTAAATTATCTACCGTATAACGCTATTTTTACTTGTTTGCTGAAAAATTTGATAATACGCTGATAAATGCAATAAGTTCAATCTGATTAAATTTAGACTTATATACGTAACAAAAACCAGTTTACATGAATGCCCTTTGGACATATGTTAAAGTTTGAAGAATTAAAAGCCGTTTAGAGATCTGTATCGTTAATAATTAAGATGTTAACTACCTTAATTATAATTTATTACACTTTTTATTGCACTTTTCTTTATGAAGAGATTTAGCAAATTTATATCTTTTAAAAATATTAATTGAATAACTTTGAAAAAATAAATATTCCTAACAGTAAAAAGTTTATTTCCAAACACATATTTACAATAATAATAAATTATTTACGCACTAAGTGCGTAAAGAAAATTGTCAAATTTGAGTGTACTGACCACAGAGCACTAGTGCGTAAAGAAATTTTACGCACTAGTGCGTGAAGAAAATGTATATAAAACCTTCATTTTTTGATAAAACTTCCGGTAGTAGAAAAAATATTGTATGCAATTCGTGTGTAAAGTAACCCTTTTTTGACACATAGTTGACTGTAAAATTGGAACAATATGAAATTAAACTTCTGAGCTGAAAACGAATTTAAAAGGTGTTTATATTTGTAGACCCTGATGTTTTTGACATTGATGGGGATTAATGGAAAACAGCATTTGCTAACATTGTTGTTGTTTAGGTTTGATGCAATTGCTTGAGGCATTCTACCAAATTTGTATATTCCTGCCACTTGTAGTGAACATTTCCCCTCTTGCCTGATTTGTGCATCTTACAACCTCCTCTTTGTCGATTACCAAGAATAATGAATAGAATAAGTTAACCTCAACCCCCTAAATGATGGTAGACATCGTCAATGGTCGTGAATAGTTGACTTGAAATTTGGTGGAGACTCCCAAAGAATGATCTCTCCAAATTGCATTTTTTGGTGAATTCACTTATTCTAGTTTAGTGTAAGAAATGGTGGAGAATATCTAGAATTTTCGAGCTCAATAAATGGCGAAGACACCGCTGCCAAAGTGAGTTCAGGTGTATGGAAGAACATTTGGATTGGCCACCATTTTATATAAATAGAGGCTGTTTTGCTATGGCAGTCAGTCAGTTTTAGATAAGAGTCAATATAAATGTTATAAAAGTAAATTAGTATATAATTCTAAATAAAATTCCAATAATTCCTAACGTCTAACATTCCTAACATTCTTAACATTACATACATTGCAAACATTCTCCAACGACCTGTCAAACAATTCTAAAGGTAAGATTTCTAAGGCGGGTTACGACCTTCATACTTGCAACCATGGCCATTTTGGAGGCTATTTGTATTCGAAATTAGTCGCTAAACCTACCAATTTATGAAAAATATATAAGCAGTTTCTGAAAAATGACTTTTTAATGGTGATATTAACTTAAGCTTACTACTATTTCGCCTATAGCCACAAAAACACCATCAAATTTACTGGCTCTCTGTCGCAACCCCATAGAATAATTAACCGGCCATTTTATTTGACAAAAATCAGAATAATGCTTAGCTGTGCTTGTCAAGTATCAAGATGTCAATCGTGATAATATGTGAATGGTTCTTAAATGTCAAATTATTTAAAAATGTGTGTATGCTTCTTTTGATATTTATTGCAAATAATATGTGGTGTATCCTAATTCAGGCTTTCCATAAATAAAGGTGCAGCAAGAGAGATAATATAATGTTCTTATACAAAGCAATTTTTTATTATATAAAAATGAGGTAGGATATAATGCTGGTTTTTAGTAGATAATTTTAATTATACGATTTTGGATTACATTAAGGGGTTGAAGTGCACTTTGTACAAAATGCTTGGTTATGCGAAGTATATTTAGGAAATTTGCACTTTTTTTCCCTTTCTATTTCTGAATATACACCAGTGTCCCACTGCATCGTAACGAATATTCTCTGTTAGAAGGTATGCCCCTTTGAGGGGCGTTGGGGATGCTCTTGGCGATGAAGATGATGGCCGTCCGACGCTTCTTTTTTGCAGTTGATCTCCATGCAGGCAAAGCGATTCTGCAACTTGGGTTCTAAAAACGGAGAACTTTACTTTTTTCTCCTTTACTGGATGAACGCGGTGGTATAGTATGTAAGGATTTACCATTGCAATGTCCAGCAGATGATAAAAGATACGGTTTGACCATTTATGGGTCTTCATACGAATATGATATCGTCCAATGAGTCCGTCCATCAAGTGAAAACCACCCATATGCCGATTATATTCAGTTATAATATGTGGGCAATCATTTTCATATTGCTTTTTTTTCTTTTTATCCCATCGAGTGACAGTCTTTGGCTTTGTGGTTGGAGTTTTCGACTTGAATGTATCGGTACGAAAAGTCATACGGAGTTCTAAATTCCTTTAAATAATTTGGCAAGTCTTTGGTCCTTGAAATACCAATTTATTGACGTGTACCTTAATCTTTGTCCTTCTCCATGTAATAGTTTTTAATTGTACACACTCGTTATTGACAGTCGTAATGTCCCCAATAAACGTTCTAGCAGTAGGGATATTAGGTCCACCTTCTTTTTTAATTAAGTCCGTTGATAGAGGACGTTTTGAACGTTTTTTGTACGTTGTAAGGGGTGCTGGACCAGTAACATTTCTCTGATCAAAATTTTCCTTATTAGGGATTGCAGATGATGAATTAATTGGCTCTAAAATTTCATCAGCATCGTTAGGTCCTATAGAAGTTTCACCTGTTGTTTCCGCTT